ACGGAAGGCACATCTGGACATGGCCTAGTCCAAGCCTAAGGCCCACGAGAGCAGCTTGCTCAGGACTGTCTTGGCAGGTTTTGAGCATCTCCAAGGCTGGAGTCTCTGCAACGTCTCCAGGCTCCTGCTCCAGATACCCCTGGGATCTGCCACGAGTGACTCGTCTGGCTGGACTTTGTGCTGCTGCTCACAACCCTCTGAGCATGGCAGGTAACAGCCCACCGTTCTCCTTGCTTATCTGCCCCTGCTTCCATCAGTGTGTTGTCAACAAGGATGTTAGGGGAGACCGTTAAAAGCTAAAGCTAAACCCAGGCTGCCCTTTTGAATGGGCAAAACTCGATCTCTTCCATATAGATGGGTGAAAAAGCAGATATCATTTTTATTTTTAACACTTCCCTTGAACACAGCAAGGATTTTGCTTTCTGATTTGTGCAAACTGGACTTGCTCCTATGATGGACCAGGGAGCACGTAAGATTTCCTATTGCAGTTGCAGTGAATGAAAGAGACTGCACCAAGAGCCCATCTGCTAGGCAGCCCGTACTGAGAGGGATGGCTGGAGGTAATACAAGCAAGTAGGAAACAGGGAAATGACAGTTGTTTCTACAAGCTCTGTGTGTGTTCAGCTTGTGCTGGTTATTTATTGTGTTTGCATTAAAAGTGACTTCAATATAAATGTGACATCTTCTCAAGACAAGCAGCAGCTGGAGACTTCAGGCTGCTTCTGGACCTTTCAGGATAGGGGGAAAAATGTCATGGAGATTCTGGAGCTCGCTGTGTGACAACAAGCCCCTACACTGCCTGGCATTTGAGTCATTAGCTCAGCTCCTGAAATCTAACGTGGCAGAAAGACATGCAGAGGGTGGAAGCTGGACTGAGTCACGCGGAACGTTACTGTCATTAATGCTGACTAACACAGGCAGCCCTTCATCTGTAGTTTCTTGGTCCAGATTTTAATGATAGAGCTTTTAATGATAGAAAAGAGATTTGTGAGGGAGTGAGAAGAAATACCAGCTTTTCACCTCAGCTATGCACAGCAAAGTAAATGGTGTCAAACACTGGCACAAGGGAGTCCTCAGTTTGGTTGGGATTTTCTCATACTACTGTATTGCAAATACAGAACCAAAGAGTGAGCAAATGTTCAGTGTTTCACAGAGAAGATGCTTTGCTCACCCATGAAATTTGAATATCATCATTTGATTCCTCTTGAAGTCGGAACAGTGTCTTGTTGAAATATATCCATAAAAACATATAGATTATCTATATGTATGGATATAGCTTCCTCTTCAGTCAAAGCATGGAGGTTGTAGAACTGCAGGAGAGGTTGTTGGATCTGACAAATTCTGGACTATCTGATGACCTATGATGCTATTTTAAAAATATGTGGTTAAGCACTAAGCTACTCATTTCAGCTCTCTGTATATTGAATAGAGAGACAGACACTTTCAAAGAATGATTCAGCACAGATGCTAGGAGCTACAATTTAAGCAGAATCTGTTTGGATTATCTGAATAAACATGAAATAGCTGCCTTTCTAAATGTCTAAACCAGGCAAGAAGGCAGGAATTGGAGCACCATCCTTTTATCGCATTCCTATTTCTACCATTCTCACTTCAGAATCCCCCCTTAAACTATGCAAGATCTTTCAGAGCTTAATGGTTTAAAGGTTGAGTGTCAGCAAGATTACTGAAGCATCATTATAGGTGCTCCAGCACCTATAGGTGCTGAATCCTTTGACAAATCTGAGACTTGGTTCTTAACTACTCAGCTTCTTGTCTGCCTTGCATACTCTTGTCAAATTTATATCTTTAAATTTTTTCAGTTAGCCACGAAAACTTAAATTTTCTTGTGACTAATATAGGAAACCAAGCTACAAAATTGTTGTCCTTGAATCGAGCATGAACCTGCATGTGTATCAGGTGTTGAAGTGCTCAGTGAAGACAAGCGAGGGATTTTCATTGCTGCTTTGGCGTTTGCTTGAGACGGGATGGCTGATGCTGTTCCCGCGTGCTGTAATGCCCCGGGGCGACGCTGCAGGACTGCAGCACGGTGTATGTGCACTGAGGACACAGGACACAGCAGTCTCCAGCCTGAGGGTGCCCAAGTGTCCTGCCTTCGCATGGACAGGCCGCTATGGAGGCCCCCGACGCAGGAGGCTGGATGTGTCTCCAAGCGGGCCGGTTGGACGGACAGCGTCAGGAGTCTCAGCCCCTGTCAGGCCCAAATCGGGTTTCAGCTGCAGAAGTAGCAGAACCTACTTCTATATGGACTAATCCACTGCTCTGATGTTGCCCAAAATAAAATGTGCATATGGACAAATGGCTTGAAGAAAAAGATCCCGGCCAATGCAGTTCTCTAAGATCCCATAGCGCATGATCCATCCTTTTCTTGAAACTTGGCCTACCCTGTAGCTGTCGTAGCAGTATCTTATCAATCAGCTCTGTTCTCAGTGAATGACAGAGTGTTTTCATGCACCCAGAGCAATATCAGACAAAAAAAATCTTCTATGCCTATGAGCACAAAGAGTTTTGAAGCATTCTGTGAGTTGAGTAACTTCTTAATGCTATGAAAATTAGTTGCTAGGTGGATCCACTTATAAAGCATTTGATGACATAATTTAATTTAAGGCAAAAAAACAGTGCCCTGGGTATAGAATCATTATTCTGAGACATTGAATAGCTTTAATAAGCCTTGACAATCCGTAACAAATTCATAGCCTCTGTAATTACTCCTTCCTACTCTAATAAGAGTGGGCATTGTAAAGTACAAGTGCCGAGGGATAGTTTTGTTTCATGTCTGAAGAAAGGAACACACTGTGGAAAGCACATTTTGTACTCAGCAGCGAGAAACAAGGTGAATGGGAGAATGGAACAGAAGCTTTAAAAGCAGTTCAAAATGTCTAGTGCACTTCCTCAGCGTCTGTTTGTCTCTGTGGGCAGCCCCAAATGAAGAAAGAACCTGAGCAAAATGAGACCATAGAGCCGAGAACTTACTAGAGCATTTGGAGGAAAACTTTTCTCCCATTGCCGCTGCCTGACTTATAAAGGTGGGCAACTTCCTCTCAGGCAAGGCTTACTCTGCTCCTTCCTTCCCTCCATCTGAATCTGGCATCTCTGTCTCCTTGGAGAAGATCCTGAGTGCTATTACACAGCACACTAACATATGCAGGAAATACTTTACATTTTGAGGTTCAAAAAAGTTTGCTTTCTCACAGGGGTGGCGAGCAGGCTGCTGCTGACCTGCCTCTTGACCCGGAGGAAACAGTGGTGTTGAGAGAAGCCAGAGAACGTAATAGCCAGGAGGTGGCTGTCTCAGGGAGCCTGGGGAAGAGAGAAAGCAAAGGCTTTCGGTCAGATCTCACCTTGTAAGGGCCCGATGTGAAGGTCAGTGTGAAATCTAGGGGGATCAAAAAGTGTTTGGACTTGGGGCAGACTGAATTACCAGAGGACAAAGCTGATTCCCAGTTTTGCAGAGTAAATTAAAATACACATTAAGACTCCTTAGCTAGAGAGTGAGAGAATCTTGAGAGAGAGATGCTGACAGGGAGAGAAAAGAGCAAAGGGGAAGGGGCAGGAAAGGGGGTTCAAGACGACCAACCACAAGAAAATGTTTTTCCCTGGCTCTGAAGAAGGTTGACGTTGCCATCCCTTGGCCGATCAGAACAAGGACACAGCAAGGTATTTTCAAAGGCCGAAGCAAAATGTATGGTAAGGAAACAACCCTGCAGCCAGAGTCACAGCTGCTTCTCCGCATTGAGAGCAAAAGGTCAGGCAGTCCTGTGTAGCTGAAAGTCTAAATCGATCATTCTCCACCACAGACACCAGAGTAACCTCTGTAGGTTAATTCAGATGCCATGGTATGTGGTTTGGATATAGTGGACTCCTATACTAAGAACAACAAAGCGGTGAAGCACAAGGTCAGTGACTAATCTCCTTTAAGCTTTCAATTATCACGACAGATTAAATTTCCTTGAGGTTTCAACTGAGCCTAATGGAAGCATCCTTTTTTTTCTTTCTTTTTTTTTTTTTCTGTGCTGTGCAGTAAGCAAGTACGTGCATTACACTGTCATTGTGGTGGCTTCCGTTACGCGGGTGCACGATGTGAAGTGTGGAAGGGTTACGGCCCAAGGTCCGGAGCCCTTGTGACTCCATCTCACCTCGGTCAGAAGGAAGATGCTTCACAGTGATCCAACTTGACCACATTTGTTAAAGTTCTCTGAAACTCAGCTCAAACAGTGAGCAAGTTTTTATCCAGCATAAACTCTCTTAGACTTGTCAAAGTCACCTCTTGTAGTCTACACTACACGCAAAACAAAATGTCAAGTCAAATACAATACTGAGCATCTACAATAGCAGGCTTACATTCGGAAAACAGAAAAAAAGAGTCAAAGAGGAGGGTCAGGGTGCTCACACAGACTGTTTCCTATGGACTAATGCCCTCATATGACAAAAACACGGTGTCTCCTTCAAGAGCCAACACACGACACTGGATATCACTTTTCACACGCTGCTGTACCTGATGGCAGGTGTACATGTAAGCTGAAGGAACCGAACTCATCACAGTTTTTATTTCTTGGGGAAATGTTCTTTTTTTTTTCTTTTTCTGCTATGTAGACAGTGATAGAACCAACTGAATACAATGATGTGGGACTTCATGAAAATTTTGGTCCTTCTGCTAAGTACTGTAAGTGGCTGTTGACTAATGAAGTTGTTGACTAAGTAATGCATGATGAAAGGAAGTGTTGGTTGGCTGATTAATAAAACCAGTAAGTCCCCACATTTTATATACTACAGTAGTGATAAATGCTAGTTTTGCTGTCATGGTTGATCTGCATTAATTACAGTAATTATGTTTGTAGAGAACAAAATCTACCAAAAGTATACCGAGTACTCAACCGCCTGCCAGTCAAAAAGAAGTCTAGCTAATTTAATGCAATAGTCTTATCTTCTTTCATTTTAAATTAGTCATTAATTATACTATGGAGGTATTTGGCCATATGTCACTTGCTCTTGCATAACAATAATGTGTCAAGTTATTGATCACTGCATCAGCTGTATCTGAAAACTCTACAGCTCAGTGCTAAATACATTACGGGACTGGTTTTCAGTGTTACATGAAAGTAGCCCTCATCCAAAGTGTAGGAAGTGCAATTAGGCTCGACGTCCTACCAGAATCTAACATAGTGCATTATTATTTTAGTGTGTAAAATCTACTTTTTTTTTCATTTTGGTTTGGTTAGGTTTGGTTAGGTTTGGTTTATTATTGCTACTTACTGTAAAAGAAAATACATGAAGTGGCAGGAATATCCACTAGGAACAGGAGCAGAATTACTGGGAAAAGAGCTGTTGCCAAGAGCAGTTCTTCTGTGTACTTGTTGTATCTAAACAGAGCCATGCCAAACTGTACTGATTTCTACAGTTATCTGGAAATCAGCAACTTTTAATCTGTTATCTTTGCAATTCTTGTTGCCTGCTGAAAAACAGGCAAAATGATTTGAAGGGCTGCTTTTCTCACAAGCTCGTTCTCTATTTGGTAATATGTTTGTGTCTGAAATAAAATGCTGCTTAGCAACTAAATGTTTCAAATGTGCCCTTTTAGTGTTCCACAGAAGTAATTCCTCTTCTGCTCCCGATGTATTCTCAGGCCGGAGGACTGGTCTGTGGAGATAGAGCTATGACAAGTGTGTGTGAGAATGAAGACAAGGCTCTAAACCTGAGAGGCCAATTTCTGCACTGACACAGCCTGAGGCAGCAATTTGCAGATGCTGTGAACTAGAGATAATGGAGTAGCTACTAGAATATTTTAAAAGGACAATAAAGAAGATACACTAGAATATATTATCAGATTTTCCTCTAAATTTCCCCTGTGTAGGCACTTTTCACCCAGGCAGAATGAGAATAAACCAGAATACAACATTAAATATCCAGCATGAATGGCAATACTGAGGGCAGCAAGACAGGCTTAATGCTGCAAACCAGCCTGACTGTAGAAGGGAGGCGGTTTCCAGCACCAATCGATGGTGTCCTCCGGTTTTGCTTCAATAAAAACATGTTGCTCAGAAGTGTGGGGTTTTGTGATGACAGGAAGGCCATTATTTGTTCAGTTTATCAGATTGTGTATCTTGTGATATGTTTAATTCTGTTTTTGCCTGTTAGCGAAAGGCAAGAAATTCCAGTTCCTGGCTGTGGTTTGAACCTTACTCCAGAGGGATGAGACTCCCACCAGTTACAGATATTCTGTATTTTGATGTCAAGACATGGACTCAGTAACTACACTTTCATCTCACCGGCACAGGCACGGACCGGAGTCTTCCTGCCAACCAGCGCTGCTTTTTCTTGTGGTTTGTATTTTGTTTGTCAGTACCGATCATGATGCTGCCATCTGAGAAACACTCGCCTTCTATCTGGGGCTGCTGGAAAACACGAGCCTCTCTCCCGCAGAAATGCCAGCAGTTTGAGTCACTTTATTCCTTACTGGGACTTCTGCAAGAAAAATTGTCAGCAGCACAAGTGTGTTTCTTTTCAATTGTCTCTGTTTATGCTCTATATAAAGTGTTTGAAAGGAAATACAAATTACTGCCATATCAACACTGCAATTAAATCTGCTTAATTTTGAAGCGTAAGTGCAACATGCACTGCTTTAACACTAAAACATTCTTCCTTAAAAATGTTTTTGGAATCAGAGCCTCTCCTGTTGAAT